ATAGCATTCCTAGCATCAGTTTAGTATATGTGTAGAAAAGTCTGACCCATGGTTGCTAATGTGTGTCTAGCACATTGCTTTGCACATCTGTATGTTTCATAACATATTGATCTGAGTTCTAGTGCTTCTAGCACAATATGTCTTGAGTAAAGCACAACTATCTGGCAGATGTTTTAGCTAAAGGACAGTCATATAGCAAACGCGGTGGGTAAACAAAAGCCTAGTTGGCAAAGCCTTTGGGTAAGGGCAAGCTATGTAGCGGTCTATATTATGTGGTAGACATTTTGGGTAAAGGAAAGTGATGTAGCAAACCTTGTTGGGTGCAGGGAAACTATGTGGCACACTGTTCGAGTAAAGGGATGTTAGGTGGCAGATCCTGTTCAGTAAAGTAACTTTATGTAGCGGGCGTTTGGGAAAGGAAAGGGTATGTAGCGGGCGTTTTGACTAGAGAACATGTGTGTAAGAGACTTCTTGGGCAAAGGAAAGCCATGGCCAAATTCGAGGCTCCACAGAAGTAGATGGCTCACAGCATGCCTTGTTCTGTGAGGGGCGGACGTGGAGGGCGGGTGAAGCGGACGGGGAAAAGGGTAAGGGGAGGGTAGGCTTGATCAAAACCACAGCCAAATCTGTGCCAAAATCTAAAAAGGACACCCCTGTGAACCCCCCTATCCCTGGTGCTTGGATTGTCAGCAGACCTCAAGGTTAGGTGTTTGTGTGTGTGTGTTTATTGGAATTGCTATGAGTTGGTGCCTTTTTGTTGCTTTTTGAAGGAAGCCAAAAGAAAAAAACAACCTTCCTTTTTGTGGGGGGGGGTCCATATCCCATTTGGAGACAACCCCATATTAGCCACGGTCAAATTGTGCGATTGATCAACAGGAAATGGGGCAATTAGAGAGGCTTGCTCTAATTACAATAATTATTCCAAATGGAGGGGTGCCCCTTAGGGAATTCCACGATAATGTTTCTTCCAATTATCATACGTCTTCCGAAAGGGGCGGATGCCAGGAATTCCAGATTCACTTTTGCATGGGCGGCTTCCCTTTGGGGAACTTCAGATTCATTGTGTTTCGAATTACTTAAGTATTCCCAAGGGGTCAGATACCTTTGGGGAATGTAAGATTCACCTTTTCTGATTACCCTACTGTTCAGAATTCGTCTAACAATTCAATTTACTCTCAAAGGGACGCGTACATCTTGGAGAATCCATATTCTAGTTGTTCTGACTATTCTAATTATTCCTACAGGGGCGGGTCCTTTTTTGCTTTTTTTGCTAATTGTTCTACTTATCATAATTAATCGAACTACTCTAAATATTCCCAAAGGAATGAGTGCATATTAGGGGAATTTCAGATTCAGTTGCATTACTATTATCATAGGTGTTCCACAAGGGATATGTGCGGCTTGGGGAATCGTGGATTCAATATTCCTCCATTGTTCTTTTTGTTCTAACTATTCCCAAATCGGAGAAACTTGGTCGGGGAATTCCATCTTCATGTGTTTCTAATTGTTTTAAATGTTCCCATGTTCCAAAAGGACAGCTGCCATGTTTCGGAATTCAACATTCATGTTTTGCTATTTCTTTGTTTATCATACGTATTCTAAACACTCTAAGTATTTCCAAAGGGACGGGCGCCTTTTGGGGGCATTCAAATTCATTGTTCGCTGATCGTTCAATTCACAATGCCAAATACTCCCAAATAGAATTGTGCCTTTTGAAGAATTCCAGAGTCACGCTTGCTCTAATTGCAATAAGTATTCCAAAAAGGATGGGAGCCCTTCGCAGAATTCCAGGTTTATGTTTCCCTCATTGTAGTAATTGATCGAATTATTCCCAAATGGACGGGTCCCTTTTGGGGAATTCAAGATTCATGTTCTTCCAATTACACTAATTGTTCTTATCTTTCCCAAAGGGACGTCCCTTTCTCACTTTGTCTCTAATTGTTCTACTTATTATGCTTGTTCTAATTATTGTAATTACTCCCAAACAAACGAGTCCCATTTTGGGAAGTTCAGAGTCACTTGCTCGCTAGTTCTAATTACTCACAAAGGGACGGATGCCTTTGGGGGAAATCCAGGTTTTTCCTTATTGTTTCAATTATTCCCAACTTGACGGGCGCATTTTGGGGGGTTCTGCTTCATGTGGTTGTAATTATATATTCTGCCTCTTATAATTATGCTAAATACCTCTGGATAATTCCGGATTCGTTCTGGTTCTAATTATCTTTATCCCTACAATATGGGTTCCTTTTGGGGAATGCCAAATTCATGCGTGTTTAATTGTCATACTTATTCCGAAAGGGCGGGTGTCTTTTGAGGAATTCCAGCTCACTTTTCCACGGACGGCTTTCTTCCGAGGAATTTCCAAATAATGCTGGTTCTAATTGTTTACATATTCCCAAAGGGGCGGGTGCCTTTGGGGGAATTCAATATTCATTTTTCTGATTATCCTACTTATCAAAGTTCTAACTATTCAAATTGTTCCCAAGGGGGGAGGCCGTGCTTTTTGGAAATTCCATATTCTAGTTGGTCTAACTATTTGAATTATGCTAATTATTCCTAAAGGGACGGGTGCATGTTGGGAAGTTTAAGATGAATTGGTTGCTAGTGTTTCAGATTCAATTGTCAATAACTTAGACAATATTAGCAAACATAATCAATCCATTAATTTTGTTGGAGGCCCTAAAACAATTCAATATCTTACATGAATGTAGATGTTTTGTTTGAAGTCCCTGACAAATGTAAACAATTTGCATTATCTACATAACTTAGAACATTTCCAGGGCACCCCCCCGATCCAGAATATTAACACACAAAACTGTAGTTTGAATAGTTTTACGTAGGACAGGTGGCTTGCTAATATAGCTCAAATGTTGTTTAAAAGTCATCAATCATCTAAGTTAGCAAAGCGGGGTTGCTAATCTAGGTACCTTCAATAGATGTTCAATCCCTCCTCCTGGGGCCTGGCCAAAGTATTTCAACTTTGTTTATTTCATTTAAGTTATTTGAACTATATAAATTTGCAGGAGGGGTCTGCCAATGCAAATGATGTAAAGCAATTGAATGACTTAAACTAACTATTTTATTAGTATATAGCATAAATAATGTAAATCGGTCAGCGCCGGCGGCCCCTGACGCAGTCAAGTAAATTAAATACTTCAAATAACTTCTGACTGAAAACTACTCAATCCATTCAAATTATGGAACATAGTTGAATTTGCAAAGGGGGGGGGTCTGCCAATTTAAACTTAGATAATTCAAATCGGTTAGCACCAGCGGCCCCTCGCTCCATTTAAATAGTTCAAATAATTCAAGGCTTAAGAAGATCAGATAAATTCTGCAAACTATTTGAATTGGCAGGGGGCCTGCCAATATAAATACATTGAATTCTGTAAATTGTTTGAATGGGTTGAATTGTTTGAATAAGTCACTTGGGGTCAGCCGTGGGCGGATTCCTGACTGATTTAAACCTATTTAAATTGGCAACGCGGGGTCTGCCAATTGAAATAATTTGAATAATTTGAGTGACTTAAAGGATTTAAATTGGTCAGGGGGGGAGGATGCCAATTTACATAATTGACATAATTGCAATCGGCTAGCAACTGCGACCCCTGACCCCACTGAAACAACTAAGTACTTAAATAGTTTAAATGATTTGAATTAGTAAACCAATTGAATTGGAAAAAGGGGGGGTTGCCAATTCAAACAATTTAAATTATTCAAATTATTTAAATTATTTGAATTGGAAAAGGGGGGGTTGCCAATTCAAGTAATTTAAACTAATTATAATAATTGAATTATTTAAATTATTTAAATTATGTAAATTATTTAAATTATTTAAATTATTTGAATTGGAAAAGGGGGGTCCATTTAAATCAGCAAACTTAGCTTGCATGTTCAGCCGTGGTTATTTAAATTGCCAAACTGAGCTTGCAACTGAAAGCATAGGTAGTTAAATTGGCAAACTAAAGCTTGCAACTTAAATCGTGGGTATTTAAATTGGCAAACTGAGTTTGCAACTTAAATCATGGGTATTTAAATTGGCAAACTAGAGCTTGCAACTTAAATCGTGGGTATTTAAATTGGCAAACTAGAGCTTGCAACTTAAATCGTGGGTATTTAAATTGGCAAACTGAGCTTGCAACTTAAATCCTGGGTATTTAAATTGGCAAACTAAAGCTTGCAACTTAAATAAATAGCTCACAGGGCTCCAAACCACATAGTACATGATCTTCCCTCTTACGGGGAGGGGGGGGCTGGCTTTTTCTTTTAGGTGAAATGCCCCGAAAAACGCGGCAGGTTGGGCCTTGTGAATGTGTTCTTTTTGAGACGAACCGAAAAGAACCAACATGGGTCGATGGACTTTTGTTTGTGCTGGTCTGTTCGAAAAGGCTTGGAATTCTCATCTCACTCTCCATCCCGCGGAAACCGGGGCTTCAAAAAACATGTTGCAAGGAAAGGACTGAGGCCCAGAAATGAAAACCCAAAGGGGGCCGACCAACTACAGCCCGGCATGGGGCAGACTTCCAGTAGCGAGCCCCCTCGAACAAGTGTTTTTTTGATGCGGGCATGATAGTAGGGCTCATCATTCTGCAACCAACTGCAAGATGGCTGCGAGATGGATCGACCTTGAAACTCGCGGGCCTGAAAATAAGAGATGATCAGATGCTCATGACCCCCGTTGTCCAACCCAGATTGATTTTAGGTTACAATCAAATAGGTACGTAAATCAATGGCCACTTGTCCAGAAAGTCTCCTTTAACAAAACAACAGAACAACTGATCCACGTTGACTAGCCATGGCAGGAGACAAAAAAGTATGGACAAAACCGTGGGAATCGCGGATCGCGGTACCCTTCGACTTTCCAGGGATTGGGGAAATGTGCTCTCTCAAAACTGGGAAAACCCGCATGGTGGGCTTTCTTTCGGCTTCTGCTTCCCTTGAAAACCGACCCAAACCAACTCCCAAGACAAAGATGGGCCGCGCCAGGCCAATGGCTGCGCCTGGGCAGAGCTAGGGTCGGTGACCTCCGGCATGGTGCGGATGTAGCGCACACCCTTGGCCTGCACCTAGCAACTAGCTGCAACTAGCTGCAGAAATCGCTCAGCTGCACATTAATGCGTTGATCACTGCCATCTGGACAAAAAGAATTGCATGGTGTTTTTGTATATGAGGATCTGCAAGTGTCAACCAATTTGCCAGTTTGCAACCGCCCCGTCTTCAGAGAGAAAGGTCCTTCATCATGGGCAACGAGTGCTACGGTTATTTGCGTCCTCCGCCTGGGACAAAGCACTTGTCCCAGTTCTCCTGTTTGTTGGGGGATTCAATAAACGATAGCCATCCCGCCTCACATCATATTTCAAGGCTCTTCCTTGACACGACGTATTTCTTGATCTCGAGCAAACCCTAGCTTGAGGCCAAACAGCTTCTTGGCATGATGTAAACTTGGCGGGGTGATCAACATGTCTTGATCCGTCAAAAGAAGAGAACTGGAAGTATCCGGCGTTGTTCTCAGACTGCCAACAAAAACATACCTGAGAGTATCCGAAGCCACAATTGGTGGATCTCAAGAGGAAGCCAATCTTCGGAGCTTTTACACATGAGTCATAATCAAACCCAGTATTAAAATGGTCTACCCAGAACCATGTAAAGAATTAAGAAGGCGGCCGCAGCTAATTCTGGCTGGGACTTTCCCTTACTAAACTTCGTCTACCCGGGTTTTGATTATGGCTCACATCGCCACCTCCAACTCAGCAAGGGAGTCGCACCGACTCAACTCGATCCCATCATGTCGCTCCTCCGCCGCGAAGTCCGGGAAGCTCTGCATGAAGAAGTCCGCCACCTCGTCCTTAACAGGCGATGGGACTCAAAAAGAAGCCCGACGTCATCAGCGGATGAAACGACAAGCCCGGTCACGTTTGGTAAACATGACAAACCAAACTCTTGACAACATTCAACACCAAACCAAACCAAACCACAAGCCCAACCATATTGACAAATTGAGCCCAGCAAACCTTTTCAGATGGCTTGCGAGTTTGCAGGAAACACCGTGACGTATGCCCAAAAGTAAAGGATTCCCGAAAACAAGAACCCTATTTATCACTCAGATGATTTGTCTGAGCCACGCAAGTGTGTTTGATGCTTGCGTGCATATTTGTGCAGGTGCATCGCGTGCAGAACGTCTACACACATGTGCATGTCTATGTGAATTGTGACATTATATATATATATATGTGTGTATCTGTGCGTAAATATGTGCATACGCCTAGGATCAGATACAAGTAGGTACATCCTTTCACTTTCTCAAAATGTATCTTCGTATCAGCCTCCTATTTGGAGACAAGCATCCATGTTGAGGAATGCAAAATCTTGAAAGTCCTCCAATGCAATATGCAACTGCCCCATCACATGCCATCCACCTGTCGGCTGTAACAAACGGGTTCTAGGATGTTACAGACGCATTCTCGTGCCATCCAAGCTGGAACCTATGTCTTCCCCTGTCTCCACGAACATGGAAGCCAACAGAAGCTCCCTCTGAAAAGAAAGTAACCTTCCAAAAGACATGGAGTCAGCGAACCTCCTATGCATTTCCCACCAGAGTATGAATTTGATGTAGGGACCTACCCTAGCGTAGAAACCTTCTGCATGGGCATGTATGGCCACTCTTGTTGAAAGTGACCAATAACCCGCAGAACCGCCTCTTGACTCCACTCGACTCCAAGGCTCCGATGGGATGATGGGAGTGGCGCCCCCTTGCCGGCACTCGACGTCGCAGCAGAAGAGGATGTAGCTCGGCGGAGTTGGGGACTGCCTCAGTCGGGAGGATCTTCTTGATTGAAATGCTATATGTTGAGAAAGGCTCCGCTTATTGAAACACGAAATCATGTTTGGAGCCTGAGATGTTTGGGTTGCTTTGTTGGCTTTGCCGAGAAAGAGGTAAAATATTTAACTACCGCCAGTGTGATTTGGAGGTGTCACTCTGTCTGTCTCTGTCTGTCTCTGTCTGTCTCTGTCTGCCTCTTGCTGTCTCTGTCTGTCTCTGTCTATCTCTGTCTGTCTCTGTCTGCGTCTGTCTCTGTCTCTGTCTGCTGTGTCCGTCTGTGGTGTCTGTCTGTGTCTCCGTCTGTCTCTGTCTCTGTCTGCTGTGTCTGTCTGTGGTGTCTGTCTGTCTGTGTCTGTGTCTGTGTCTGTGTCTGTGTCTGTGTCTGTGTCTGTGTCTGCGTCTGCGTCTGTGTCTGTGTCTGTCTGTCCGTTTGTGTCTGTCTGTCTGTCTGTCTGTCTGTCTGTCTGTCTGTCTGTCTGTCTGTCTGTCTGTCTGTCTGTCTGTCTGTCTGTCTGTCTGTCTGTCTGTTTGTTTGTTTCTGTTTGTTTGTTTTTCTCTGCTTCTGTCTGTTTGTCTCTCTCTGTCTCTGTCACTGTCTCTGTCTTTGTCTCTGTCTCTGTGTCTGTGTCTGTCTCTGTGTCTGCCTCTGTCTCTGTCTCTGTGTATGTTTGGCTGTTTTTGCTTGCTTGCTTGCTTGCTTGCTCGCTTGCTTGCCTGCCTGCCTGCCTGCCTGCCTGCCTTCAACTTCAACATCAACAACGAGGTGCATTCTATTCACCGGCGTGTTGGTTCAAGTATGGGGTAGAAACTGCAGGCCTTTTCTTCACGACGCAAAATCAGGTCTACCAACGAAATCACCCAAAACCATGCAAGAGATCACAGCGCTCTATTCGTGGCTTCCGACCAAATTTGGCTTCGGGGTGATCCGGACCCATAAAAACGAGGTTGTACGCGCCAGGAAAAATACACACAATTGAAGGGGGGGTCCCCTGTTTTCTCCACCCACCCACCCCATCCTCAGGTCGCAAACCCGCCCGCCAGGATACGCCAGCTCGTGGTGGAAGGGGATGGGCTGGTCCGGAGGAGACTCGTTGGAGGTAAAGACCACGCCTCTTGGGCCATTGCGGCCACGTCTTTCGTGAGACAAAAAACCCTTGTTTGGATAAGTCTAAGGGAGAAGTCTAAAGAAAAACCTGAGGGACACCAAAATATGGAGCCCTTACAGCTCCCAAAACCAAGTCGGATGTCAAGGGGTCAAGTAGGCCTACTTCCCCCAATACATGCACCCGAGGCAAGGCACAAGATGCTTAATGTAATACACGTGGGTATGCCTCAAGACTATTCAAAACCAAAAACTGAAACAATTGAGGGTTCTGGCGGCACATTCGCAACTCTTTGCAGTTCTTGGGGTCCAAATGTGGACAACTTGACTGCCCTCCTAGCATCATGGGCAGTAAGATTTGCTCAATTGAAAGCTGCAGCAGGTAGACGATCAAACGTTTTTTGCCTACTCCCTGATATCCAGCCATGATCAAGCAAGGCGTCCACGTGCTGGATTCGCGAATACTTGCCAGGGTTACAGGAGATCCTTGCAGCTTGCAAAAGTTTCCGTGGGTGATAACCGTTGTTGTGCACAGGTCAAGTCTTGTCACTCTCAATCGATCTGAAGAAGTGCCTCGTCGTGACACAACTTCGAATCAGTCACTCGGCATGGCACCGCACGTCCCTGCCTTTCACTACCTCCGTACGCGGCGCTGCACCACCCACGTAGTCATAGCCTGGCCAAGGTGAGGCTTGATGCATGGCCAAAAGCGGTGCCTTTCATTTTGAATTGTTTTACAGTGGACTTCGGGTTGTTTGAAGGGTCGATTTAACATGGAAATGATTGAGCAGGGTGGTTCTGGCATTGGACCGAGTTTTGGGCGGCTTGATGGCTGGTGTTTGCTTGGTTTAGGAGCCCATTTCCCCCACAGAACCAGAACCACGCGGGCTCCAACCAAGATCACGTTTTGTCCCTTGCCCCAGCACTACTCTGTCCCACAAATGTCGTGATGCCCAACAAGTTATTGTTGATGCCGAATCCATTTTCTGCTGCCTATCCGAACCGTTGGCCACTTTGCGTTCGGGTCGAGGGCTGCCCTCAAACTGCCGAATCCCGGAACAACCATCCTCTGACACGACTTTGACGACACAGTGGCGGCTTCCGACGGTCAAGCCCGGACAAGGTTGTGGAACATGACACTTGTGATGCTCGAGTAGAATTTATTATTCCAATTCCGATTCAATTGACTGTCTTTGTCACAGTAAAGGATTCCCACAAGGTATCAGTTGAATGTGGGTCTGGAAACACTAAACAATGACCCATCCCCTTTTGTTTTCCATAGATAAATAGCTTCACAGCGATCGGCTGGGTTCCGCAACCTCTTTCCAACGCTGAAGACCAAAGCGAGAAGTGTCTCACTGGCTTCATACACAAACTGAACTGAGATAAGAAGTGGCTTCGGTGGTCCAACAGGCTGGATTACGTAAGCCACAGCAAATCTTCAATGTTGCCCCAAACGACAATTGATGAAGGTGAGCAACCCCTCTTTTGCAAATGAGAGAAAGTGCCATGTCATTCCCTTCACTTCCATCGTTGACGGACCTTGATTTGGGCGTTGTTTGTTTTTGGAGGGTACACGTTTTCAGGCTCAAGCTTTTGCAAACCCCGAAAAGGACTTCCAACAAGAAACCCATCCGGCGTGCGGAAAATGGGGTGGATGCGCATCACTGCATCATTGACTCAAAGCAAACCAGGTCTTTTGCCGCCCTCCCCCAACATCGCTGCTCATAAGCGGAACTACCCTAGTTGTGGCACTTTCCGCAATGAGTGTATCAAAAAAACAAAAACAGACCTAAGTTGCCTCTGAACGAACGTGACGAAACCCATAAAGACTGCCAAACCGATTACCAACTCAGGTAAAGCGAAGATGTCCTCGCATTTGGGCGCGCATTCTCTTCCTATCATCCCTTTTTGCGGTTCACACGGGAACAGGGAAAAACCACTGCCCATGAAAAGCTCCATCACCCCCACTTCCAAGGCATAACCCCCCTCCCCACGCCGGTGCCTTCACAGCCCATGGCCCGTGTGACCTCAGCAAAGTCCTGAGCTGAGGACACGCCACCTCGGTCTGCGACTTCTTTTGCACACCCACACATGTCCAGGAGATCTCCTGTTTCTCAAACATGCTCCTCCTTCTGGTTTGAAGAACACAAAAGGATGCTGTGCGCCGTGCGTGCGATCGTGCGTGCGTGAGTCGTGCCATCGTGCGTGCCTGCGTGCGGACGGGTGGGCGGGCGGGGGCGGGCTGGCTGGGGGCGGGCGGCGCGGGCGGGCGGCTGGCTGGCAGGCTGGCGGCCGGGCGGGTGCGCGGGCGGGCGGGCGGCGCGCGAACGGCCACCGCCTCCATTTTTCTGGGTAAGCCTGGTTTTCTTGTTGTTGGGCAGACGGGCACACCAAACAAAGGAATAAACCACTGGCTCTTTGGCACTACAACAAGTAGAATACCTCCGAATGAGAAGGTATCTTTTTGACGATCCCATTTAGGGCTGCTTCCTTCTTGGGAATTCCAAGAGAAACTGCTGCCAAAGCACATGTTGGGATGTGGAGACTTACCCAGCGTGTCTTAGATCACCCTTTCGGGGTTGAAGGGAGAATGGACCGGTGAGAATCCGATGCATTTTGGAAGCGATGCTCCAATGCAAAAAGTCAATCCCACCTGATTTGCCCAGCTGAAGGGCTTCCATGGAGTCCGTCTGTTTCGCTTTGTGAATGCCCGGCGCCTGGTATGTTTGGCTGTTTTGGAAAGGCTAACCCCAGGCTCCCAGGTGCGTCTTGGCGTCTTTTTCCTGGTAAATGAGCAACTGCTCCGTGTTTGGAGGGCTTTGTTCAGTGCGCTTCGCCTTGTTTGGTGGGCTTCGCCTTAAAGATCACCGAAACTGGCACGGTATTAGTCCTCGCACAGCAAATGAAAAATAACTTGATAAAGTCAGTGCGTGCCTCTCACACACTGCAAAAAAAACGTGCGTAACTCTGACACACACTTTATCGTGCGCTACGTTTGCCTACGAGTGCCTTGGGCACCGTGACAGCACACAACCAGCCGACTAGAAAACAAACGCTTCGCATGATCCACTCTTACGGGGATTCCAGAGGAAATCAGCCGCAGGAAAACGGAGGATTCACATCAACTCGGACACTGGACGGATCAAGTCAGTGACTGTCGTATGACTCTTCAGCAGCATCAGCAGCTCGTCGTTGCGGCCCTGGACGTTGCTGGCCTCAGCGATTTCCATCGCCGTGCAGCCCGACGAGTCCGCCTGCACGAGTCTGGGTCTCAACCCCCAAAGTGTGTCTTGCTTTGAGGATACCCCCCCTTTTGCTTGGTTTTTGTCACGGGAAAAGGAAGCCAGTTACTTTGGGTGTCCAGACGCAAAAATGGCACCCAACCATCTGGATTGGGCCTTTGGACCCGAGCCAAAACCCTTTCAATTGATCACTTGGCTCACCTGTCGCGGATCAGCTCTCTCCGCCAGCAAGAGCCGTACGAGCCGAGTGTCCCCGTGCTTCACGGCCACGTGGATGGGGTAAACAGTTCTGCCCCCCACCCATCCTGTGGAGGCCAGGAGCTTCCCATCTGAGCCCGGCAAGTTTGGGTTTCAGATCTAGCCAGTACCTCCTTTAGAGGGCTCTGGTGAAACCACGAAGGCTACACGCAAGTGTCAAGTTCAAATGCTGTGTCGTTTTGGAAGCCCGTCCAATTCCTTTTGAATGAAGTCGATTACTTGGGTCACAGCAAGGTCACATGGAGGTACCTTTGTTCGCAAGCTATTTTGAGGTTTGGAAAGGAATTCAAAAAGGAGAAGAAAATAAAAAGCTTCTCTCTTTGGAACTTCTGGCCGCTGTCCCACTCACTGTCCTGGCAGGCGAGGCTGCACAGCATTCTGGAAGCCGTGCGCCCGCAAGAATCCCTCGAGCCGCGCGGCATGCTGGCACCGCTTCACAAGCCTCCGGGCCGACACCCGGGGCCGGCCATCTGTGAGCGCGTTGGGCTCACATGCATCAGCCATGTCTAAGAGTCGAAGCGAAGAAGGTGCGGACTAGGCTTGAGCCCAAAATTTCCCCAGAGAATCAGGTCCGGATTCCACGCAAAGGCACAGGGTCCTTTCCCGCAAGCCTCAGCAAATATGGGAAAAGGGAAGGACAAGACGCGACTCGTTCGGGGGCTAAACTTCTTGGCATGAAGTGAAGGCAACCTTAAATTGCACTTGCATGCGGGGGATTTTGCACCCAGCTAGTCTTAATCCTGCTGTCCACAGAAAGTCGCTGCCCTCTTCGCCGAGCTACAGTTGCGGAAGAGCACGGCCCCGTGCTGCAACAGCCTCGGTCGACTCTGATCCTTTCTTCCCGCCCACCCAATTAAAGGTATGGAAGACTAAAAGCTTAGTTGATCTGGTAAGTTGAATATGTCTCGCCCACGCCTTCTGCTATCTATCTATATATAACCAACTAAACAACTAGCTATCTAGCTACAGTATCAATCCATGCATCCATCCACGCATCCATCCATGCATCCCTCCCTCCCTCCGTCCCTCCCTCCCTCCCTCCCTCCCTCCCTCTCCCTCCCCCCTCCCATGCCACAGCAACATCTAATGTTGGTAAGCGGAACATGAAATGCACACTAAGAGCCTCAAGGCTCGTTGGTCTCAAAAGGGCTATCACTGGTGTGCACCATACCCAGCCTCTCCAACCCGTACTGTGCACGTCAATCCGCACGCGGGCGCGGGTGGCATCGGACGCTGTTGGGAACGCAACATTCACACAAGATCAAGGGTGATGATCGCAGACAACATCACTTCGGGCCGACCAAATTTCCAACTAGGGGTAGCTCTGAATGGGGGCCCCAAGTTTGTGTGCCAGTTCTGAAGCAAGGTTCCTGAATCGGGGCAAGTTTCTCAAGCGAAGTTTCTGAATCGTGGAAAGCTTCTGAATAGGTCAATGCTCAAGCATCTCGCATCGATGCGGGGACACGTGCGGGTCTGGTGGGCAACGTCATGTTGTCTGCATGGTGTGAAGATATCTGGCCAAGGGGGTGCGGTTGAGGGCAAGCTATCCTGTTGCGCTCAGTTAGTAGGGGTTGGGAGGCTCAGGGGCAACAAGTCGCTCGCTGCGGACAAAGCCTGCGCGAGGGAAGGTGTGCGGGACCAAAACAAACACAGGTTCCGCAACACTGGGACGCAGGTGCCTTGCTCTCGCCAATGGCACAGCATGTCTTGATTGCGGTTGTTACGATCCTACGATCCTTTTCGTTTGTGGAGCCTACCCATAGCATGCTACATCGGATCGTGGAGATTGGGGTTGGTTCGTCATGTCGCACCTTGACATTCAGGCTTCGTACTGCCATGCCACGTCTTCGACGGATGTGGATGCGATTGCCAATGCAAACCCAAGGCCGAGGCGCAATTCGCCAAGCTGCCAATGCACAATTGTTGGAGCCAGAGAATCTGCGCCCACACAAAGCTGCTTCTATGCGTCAAAGCCCCGCCGTTTGGCCGTGCAAGGCTGCGGCATTTCTGGCGATATCTCAAGCATTTTCGTCATTGTTCGCAAATCCGAAGTCCTGAAACATGTCGATTTGCGCCGAGTCCTTGCCTTGTATACCCTTGGAGGGCTCAGCGTGAGTCCGAAGGAAGGTGATCATTCCACTGACAAATTCAAGAAAGGCTGGGGGCACCATGAGGGCACATCTTACTACGTGTTCCCTGTACCTGAGCTGCTTGTCGGCTTCACCAACGCAAAGCCCATGCGCGTATAAGAACAGGGTGCAATCCAATAAACCGAATTGCGCCAGAGTTTCCCAGCCGCGTTCCCCCGTCGAGTCAAGGGGCAACCATCCTATCGGATGCCAGCAAGTGGGCGAGGAGGCGTGCGAGCTGGTCGTCTTTGCCACAGTTGTCTACGTTGAGAGTGTGGCAGAGTGCTCTCAGGTGTTTACCCAAGTCTGATTGCGACCGGAAGGTTTCACACAGCTTGCTGAACTGTTTGAAGTATACTTCAAAAGTTGCCCAGTAAATGTTGCTCATGGCATGCATGCTTGGTAGCTTTCACAAAGCCTGGGTTCCTGATGGAAGGAAGCTTGTTGCGCTTGATCTCGACGCCTGTCGGTCAAGTTGGCGATATCCGGTCGCGAAGTCGGGGCCATTGGGGTGGGGCTCTCTGAGTTCTGTGGTCTTCGGGCCAGTTCAGGCCTTCTGCAATCCCGCGTGGCCGATGCACCTGGCCGTGTTGCTTGTCCACGTTTTCAGGGTAGCCCTTGATATATTCAATGGTTATCCATCCATCCCATGCGTCCATCCATCCATCCATCCATCCATCCATCCATCCATCCATCCATCCATCCATCCATCCATCCATCCATCCATCCATCCATCCATCCATCCATCCATCCATCCATCCATCCATCCATCCATCCATCCATCCATCCATCCATCCATCCATCCATCCATCCATCCATCCATCCATCCATCCATCCATCCATCCATCCATCCATCGTCCGACCAACCAACCCAACACAAACAAACAAACGTGTGAAGAATCGGCCGCTCACCCCCCCTCCGTCCACGGCACAGGCGGCGCAGCTCTTTACTGCGGCGGCCGCACCAGGCGGCGAGGCCCTGCTCGCAGGCCGTGGCGCCGGTCGCCGGCCTCAGAAACAAATCCAAAACTGACAGGAGGTTCCAGGGGTTCTTGGTTGACGTTGGAATGGGGGCAAAAATTCAAATTGTAGCAGTTAAGTGGGGATTTCCCAAACCAATAGGCAAAAGTGTAAAATGTGTCCCAACAACAACCATGGCTTAGGCTTGAGGTTGCTGATATCCCAAAGATCTACTATAAGTGCTTTATGCTATGGTGGAATGAAGGTCGGGACAATCAGCATCCCAAACAAGCCTTGGAGGGGCCTAGAGTCATCTGCTTGTAATTATTCAAGGTGTTGGTCATCTAAAAGAAATAGGAAAATACATGTGATATGTGTGTGCAAAAATTATAGTTGCCAGTGATAAATGTATACTCAAGGGCACTCTGATTTTGGTATTAATAGTGGTATGTATTGCTTGAATCCTGAGATGTTGAACAAATAAATTCTAAGCTCCTTGTACATAAGAGATTGATTGCTTTCGGTTTTCTGAAGATACACTCCATAGGTGAATGCTTTGCAATGATGTTTGATACAACATTTAGGAGCGTCCACATATTGAAAGCTATTAAGCTGAAAAATATGTATCGAGAAAATGAATAAGACAAATTCTTCAAAGGTATATACAATATATAAATGTGGATCCTGTAAAGGAAAGGCACCAAAAAACACAAAGAAATCCTAAAGCAATTTAGAGCAAGGTCCCCCCCCCAAACAAAAACAACTAAAAAAGGACGTTGACCCAAAAGTATTTGCAGTGCGTTCAGCCTTTTTGGGGCCTTTGGCAACTAAAGAAAGATGGCCTTACAAAAGACACTGCAGGCATCCTTCAAGGGATGCTGTGATGCACCCCTGGATACAATCCACACCTTTGCAACCCCTCCTCTAAAACGCCCGGTCCAAAAGAGAATGTGGCAAAGCCTCTAAGTCCAGATAGATATGTTTTTTGTAATCAAGTTTCTAAAAGACGGCCTGACGGCTTCCCTTTGAGTTCAAAACCGAAGAACACCGCAAAAACAAACCAACAAAATGCAATGATACAAGAACTGCGCCTTGCTGCAGAAGCAATCCGCTGTATTGAGTCATGTCCACCCTTTTTTGCAAACTTGAGCATTTTGCTATCCATGCAAAGATACTTTCCCATTGCTTTTATATAATTTTTTGGCTTTGGACTAAAAGGGAAGCTGTCAGACTATCTTTTGGAAAGTAGTTTTTCTGAAAGGTATATTCCTGGACAGAGGACGTCGCCAGTTTTTTCTGGCTGTGATCCCAACACCTGAGTGAGAATCAAACCCTGGTAGTAAAATGATGTACCCAAAGCCATGTAAGGAATTACAAAAGGCGGCTGCGCAGATTTTGATTGTGACTCACCAGAAGTCATGGATCCCTCTCTTGGTGCTCGCCGTACATTCACAAGTTCTTGCCAGCAACATTGGCAAACTGTATTCAAACTACGGAGGACCAGACCCAACCAATCAGCACTGTCTACTGGAATGCACCGATTCAGAATCAAGAGAAACTTTTGATCAGATTATGCTGCCCACTTCCCGCCTTTGGCAAACAAACAACCGCGGGACACGGAGACAGATGCCGGGCTGTCAGCTTCTGCTTTCTTGCCCTTGTCCTGTTTAGCAAAATGATTCTCGCACGGCTCTCACATGTGACTAAAATAAGTTGTAAACGCCCTCTTAGGTGCGTCATTCAACCTACCTCCCAAACACTTCCCCCTCCCATAGAAGCCGTTTCTTGCTTGCCCGAAACTCACTTCAGAAGGGGATGCTCAAACCACCCGCAGAGAAATCTGAGGACCTCTGATGGACGCTGTTGTTTGGTTCTTACCCAAGTTCGGACCCTCCCGCCCAGGCGGACCAACGATGGCCTTCATGTATATGAGGGTGTATGTCCGGCAATTACTTTGAGGAGGGTTCAGCCGTCAAGCTTCATAGCCATTTGGGTGCATCGCTTTTTGGAGCCGGTACCCTCTTTGGAGTTCAAACTTGAGACAACAATAAAGCCAGCAATCCTTGAGGAAATTCATGTTGACCCATTTGCAACTCTGGATCCCTGCCAGGCGGCGTCAGCACCAGCGGGAAGTCGTGGCCATGCAAAGGCCGCTGCTCCGGGATGCTGCCTGGCACCAGGGCCTCAGACAGCTCCGTTCCCATGATTCACCCTGACCCCCCCTGTTTGATTGCCGATGCTGCTGGCCCTTTAAAGCGCAAACGATCTTCGAAAAAGGGAACACACACCCACAGGCCGAGGCACCATGATGGAACTCGGCGGCTTGGGAGCTGGAGACTGCAAGTCAGAAGCCACGACGGCTGCATGGATCAACTACCAACAGAAACAAGGTATGACAACGCTCATCCAAACAAACATGACTGTACACATATGTACGTACAAGCACGTAGGTGCATACACGCAAACGTTTGTACTCGTGCATTACATACATGCCATAATACATGCAATAAGAATGCAAACATTGCATACCCCCATTAGATGACATTAAAATACATTACATTACACTACGTTATATTACGTTCGGTTAGGTTGGGTTCGGTCAGGTTAGGTTAGGTTGTGTCACCTTACGTTGCAGTCAACTACAGTACGTTACATTACATGCACATTGCATTCTATTGCGCTACGAGGAAACTAAATTACATTCCCTTACGCTATCATGAGCTGGGGCCATACAGCAAGATGATCAATGGCGAGCACAAGCAGCCCAAGAACGGGAAGCTCTTTCCGTATCTAGGGGCTGGACGCCGACAGATTGCCCTACATGCGCGACTGCATGGGCACTCGAGCCTGGAAACTTCACCAAGCCGGCTGCTGCAAATGCAGCCGCCTGCTGCAGCCCTTCGTCCAAAGGTTCTACGAGGAGTGGAAGGTGCTCAAGCAGTGAGGGCAGCACAACAGAGAGCATCATGAAGCTGATGCTGAACTCCATTTACGGCAAAACGGTGCAGTCCATGGAGCGCTTCAGGAACACCACGGTTAACTTCGATGAAGTGGCGAAAGTCGCAGGGCAGGGGGAACATGGTCAACTACGATGTGCGCGGCCTCGAAGATGGTTTCTTATGGGCATCGTGCACCGGTCGGCAGGAAGCCACGGGTGCAGCGCAGCCCCGTGCAGGTGGGGTGGAGGATTTTGGAGCAGGCCTGCCTCACGATGTTGAGGTACCACAACACCATCAGGTGGCGTCCTTGCCACGTTAAGGCCTGTTGCACTGCTCCTAGCTTGAACCCAAACAACCCTCACATCAAAGATCCCCGCAAACCCGAAAGGCGCGCACTCTTTTCTCCCGGGTTGCTTGAAAGTTGCACTGCCTCCAGGGCACGCGGCGCACCTGGAGCAGGAAGAAGCATTGTCCCCCTGCGAAACTTTGAAGGCGCCAAACAGGCGTGTCCTGGCTTATTGCAGCGACACAGCGTGGCAAGCGTGCCCACGCTGATGTGTGCGGCGAGGGAGTACCGCGGATACAGCCCTGGGCAAGGCAAGGGCAGGCGTGCCCAGGCCTGGGGCAGCCTCGAGCCCGCCTTGTGAAAGGCAAAGTAGGGTGGGAGGGTGGGTTTCAATCGAAACAAACGAGTTCAAGGCTAGGAGCAAAATGGCCACGGCGTACGAGATTCACAGCAGGCCCTAAAACACAAGGGAAAGGAAAACCCTAAGCGTTAAGGCCTGTTGCACTCCTAGCTTGAACCCAAACAACCCGCACATCAAAGATCCCCGCACATCCGAAAGGCGCGCACTCTTTTCTCCCGGGGTGCTTGAAAGTTGCACTGCCTCCAGGGCACGCGGCGCACCTGGAGCAGGAGGAAGCATTGTCCCCCTCTTCAGTGTTTCCAAGCAACCCCGGAAAGGGCTGAGCCAAGCCGACCAAACCACATTGTTCGGAAACTGCTTGAGACGCATGATGGCATGCTCGAATCCGCTCTTTTAGCGCGCTGAGTTTGGTGACAAACTCTTTGATGCGGCAGCCAGGTGTTCTGGCCGCCAAGGCGAGCCCCCTTCCAGCCTAAGGCTGCGAGGGCTGAAGCGCACGCGGTCTGCAGGGCGGTTCATGAAACGGTGAAGGCGTCCTCGGCTGAGGTCGTCCGCCCAGTCGTTCAGACGTCCGGGCATGTGTGTGGGCTGCAAGTGCACGTTGTGCAGTGCTGAACAGCTTGTTGGTGCCTGCTTCGGTGGGCTGAAGGAGTAGTGCAAGTGCGTGGCCTGCAGCAGCGCTAATTGGGCTAGGGTTTCGAAGCAAGCAATGGGCAGGCTTGGCGTGGATCTAACCTCGCTCATGTTCCATGTTTCTGCAAACCAAACCACCTGAGTGGAGGTCACGGCCCATCCTCCAACGCCGACTATGTCGGCCTCTGCACATGCGTCGGCAGCTGCAATGGCTTGGAGTCTGCAAGGCTGAGCATGATCCGAGCCTTATACCTGGTGCCCTTAAGCAGCTTGAGTCTCACTAAAACACTAAACAAAGGAACCCTGAGCGCAAGCACTCCTTTTCAGCACACGGGGTAGAGCATCAAAGGTAAGAAAAGGTCCTTCACAGAAAGAGGGGGACCCCCAAAAGGAAAGGGGTTCACACGCGGAAAGAGGGGGTCCCCCAAGATCGCTGCCTTATAACTGGTGCCCTTAAGCAGCTTGAGTCTCACTAAAACACTAAACAAAGGAACCCTGAGCGCAAGCACTTTTCAGCACACGGGGTAGAGCATCAAAGGCAAGAAAAGGCCCTTCACAGAAAGAGGGGGACCCCCAAAAAGGAAAGGGGTTCACACCCGGAAAGAGGGGGGGCCCCCCAAGAAGGCCAACAGGGGGTGAGGGCAGGCAAGCGCCCCATGTCGAGAACTTGCACGCACCCCCTGTAAACTGAGTGCTCGACCGTGTGTAGTGGCCTGAGGCGGCACACGCAGAAAGGAACGGCAAACAATACAAGTACGAAGTAAAGCATGATCGGCAGACAATTGCGCAAGACACGCATGGCAAAATAAACGGCACAATCAATTTTACACCTGCAGCGCGCTCCAAAGATCGCTCCAAACGGTTGGCGTAACGTGGGACTTCCGGGATTTCAAGAAAGTAACTGAGACTCATCTCCTCGACTGGGGGCGTCAGCAACATTCACCTCGGTAGGGACCCGGTGGATCCACGGATCGAAGGTCATCCGTTGCTCATTGTCGCAGGACATGCGAACAAGGGAATGAAGGGCAGCCTCATTGTCCACATGAAAGAAAATGGCCGTGCCTGAGAGCAGATCTGGCCAGAGGTGAAGTGCCATCAAAATGGGAAGGATCTCGAGGTGCAAAATGCAGTGAGATCCAAAGGTCGCAAGAACTGAAACGGCCGGGGGCTCAAAAGAAAAATGAAAGCGGGGCTGCCCAAAGAAGTCCACAAGGACTCCTCCAATGGAGGGTTTGGAAGCCTCCAAAGCACCATCTGGAAGACGTGCCAAACGAGGCGATCTCTGCTGCTGATTGCTCGAGGCTCGAGAGCCCGGCGCAAGGGCGGAAAGCTCATGCAAAGATGAAAGACATCTTGAACGGTAGCGTCCAGATAACTGGCCATGGGCAAACTGCATGCGGCCTCGCAACCTGCGGGCTTCCTTGAGCTCTTTCAAGCTGGAAGCCAGGATTTGGACTCTAGCCTCAGTGTTTGCAATCTCGAAGACTCTTGAGGGCTGAAGGCAACCCCAAGCGCCTGAAACACGGGCGCAAAAGGCGGGTTCTTGGAAGGCTTGCCACTGACTTGAAAACCCAGCAAGGTGAAAAGGGACTGAATCAGGTGCGTGGCAGCGTGGGCAAGTGGCTCGTAGAAACAGGTCCAAGGCAAGCGAAAAAGGCGAGTACCAAGCGCATGAATGGCCAAGCTGGTGCTGTACTCCATTCATGGCCTGCATACAATGGACAGGGTCTTTGGGGCAGACAGCCCAAAACTGACCCTGAGGAGCCCTCCGGCGGGCGCAACGGGTAGCACCGAGCCCTTTGGCCAAGGACCTGCGGGTAGTCGCTTGCCTCGAAACCATGCCGCGTCGAAGAGGTCCTGAGAAAACAGCTGCAAATCGAAGGGCGAGTGAAACTTCACTGCAGCTCGAAGAAAAAGCAGTGCCTTGCCCACAACACAGGCCTAGGGCGACAGTGCTGAGGCAAAAAATCCCTCAGTAGTTGGCAAATGGCTTGACAAAAGGGCAATGGGTAAGCAGCTTCTTCCACCGTGTCAATTCCCAAAGAATCCTTGCATGGGGCATGGAAGCGATTGCCGTCACATGTGCGACAAAGCGCCTTCAACCAGGTGGGAGTACCCTTCAACAGAGTGCGCTTGCGGCGAGCCCCGCCATAAGCGCAAAAGTGGACCTCTGTCTGCGGAGGCACAGCGCCAAGCAGGCGCAGCTTGGAGCAGGCGTTGTGGGCCACTGTGAAAGTGGCGTGGAGGCCACTGTGAAAGTGGTTGAGTACTGGCTCGCCCAACGAGTCTTAGTACTGGCTCGCCCAACGACCCTGAGCACTGGCTCGCCCAACGACCCTGAGTACTGGCTCGCCCAACGACCCTGAGTACCAACGACCCTGGCTTGCCCAACGACCCTTAGTACTGGCTTGCCCAACCTACTGAACCTTCACACTGTAAACTTCGATACCGAGCGCGCCACGTTCCTGCCCGGCATTGAAGCCCGGACCGGAGAGCTTGGAGTTTTTTAGGCTCTTATAGGAACCTATAGGAACCTATAGGAACCCATAGGAACCCTATAGGAAATCCATAGGAAGTCCATAGGAAAAGAAGAAGAGGGCTTCCTATAATTTTCCTATGGGTTTCCTATCGGTTTCTTATGGGTTTCCTATAGGTTCCGAGCCGCGCTCTCAATCCTGTTGTCACCCCAGGATTGCCCCCTTAGAGTTGCCCCCCTCAATCCTGGCTCCTGAAGGGCGTCGATTTGGCTCACAAGCCGCTCGCAGTGGGCGTCGATGTCGATTTGGGTCATCTCACGGAGGCGGTCGGCATCGATTTTAATCTGCTCATGCAGGCGGCCGGCTTCGATTTGGAGCTGCTCATGGAAGGTGATGACTTCTTCGCCTACGATGGTTTCGACTCCGAGCCACTCATGCAGGGCACCGGTTTTGAATTTGAACCGCGCCTCGAGGTTGATGGTGTTGGTCAAGAGCTGATCACGACGGACGTCGGTTTCGTCTGGGAGCCACTCACGGAGAACGTCGGTTGCGATCGCAAACCGCCTTAAGGCGGCGTCGGTCTGGATTTTGAGCACCCCCTGAATGCCGTCGGTTTCGACTTTGAGCAGACGCTGGAGGGCGTCAATCCTGTCTTTGAGCCACGCT